GCTTATTCGTAAAAGTTCGCTCGCGCCGCAAACATTTACACACACACACAGAGACACTGATACGAAACGACGGTCACAACAAAACGGCAAACTACGCAGTACGTTTTCACTATATAATAATAAAACGATACCCCGCCCCACTAAGTCTATATTCTGTCCGCCTTCATGTTCGTTACATAATCTATGTAATTATAAATTTCGCGGTTGCCAAAAACAAAAATAATAAATAAAGTGCAACCGGCAAATTTTTACTGAGAGGGACAAAAAGAGATAGAGGGAAAGAGTGTATGTGTGTGTGTAAGTCTGTCCGACTATTGGCTGTATATTGAGTGTGCTTTTATTTTTATATAAAATGAATTGTATTTATGTTATCATATAAATGCGTGAGTGTAGATTACGAAAGGGGTTTGCATATGTTTAGCGAATCGAAACCTACGACAATTGAGTGATAAGCGACTCATCGACTTTAACATACATATGTATATATATACATGCATGTGGGAGTATGTGTATTGACTGCGTACGTCAGAATGCGGCTTCTATCGAAAATCAATTTTGCGTGTTATTGCATCAGCTTTAATTACCATTTCACTCTCTTTCATTTCAGAACCCACTCGAACGTAGCAAAAACATCAGCAACCAGCTTCTATTCGCGTTAAAACTTTAAAATTATTAAAAAAGTGCCACAAGTGTTTGAAAGAGGAGATCTTTGTCGAATTGCGCGTGACTCCGTGAAAGTGCTAGTGTCAGTGAGCGTGAGAGTTAGATAGTACTAGTGAGAGTGAGTGCAAGCTTGAGGATCTGAAGCTATGTCCGCTTCTACTCGTAATAAACACTCAAAGATCCATGGTAATGAAAAGTTGGATATTTCCAATGATGAGTTTGACCGCATTCGTGACGCTTTAAAGAACGAAGAGTTTCGCAAGTTGTTCTTCGATTACGTGGACGAAATCCAGGATCCGGAGAATCGCAAGATCTACGAGGAGGAGATAACACAGCTGGAAAAGGAGCGTGGCGTTGATGTCACCTTTATCCATCCCCAGCCGGGCTTTGTGATTAAAACATCAATTGATGGCGAGCTGAAATGTTTTATTAACATTGCAAGCTGCAAAGTTGTAGAACGGCCCAACAATGAGGTTTCAGTTAATTCCCAAACTGGCCAAAAGGGTCTCAGCTGGTCCATTCCATTGGCCCAGATACCGCCACGCGACGATCTCGATGCCAATAACAAGCTTTGTAAAGTCTATGATGTTGTCTTCCATCCGGATGCACTGCATTTGGCCAAGCGCAACGCGCAGTTCCGTCAATGCCTCATCGATACAGCTCTCGATGGCGTGGAGCGGGAATATCATGTAAATCTGGATCGTGCCAATCTCAAGTTTCCCAAGCTTGACTACAAGGGCATGGCGCGTCCCAGTGTGCTGCGTACTCTATCGAAAAATCCAACAGCCGAGGAGAAGGAACCGCATCCCCTAGAGCACATGTATCCAAAGAAGCCCGAAGCTGATGCCGGTCAGTCTAAGGTCTTGCCAATGAAGACAAAGGTGACGGCCGTGCCAAAATTTGCTGTGCCTAAATATTGCATCAAGCATAGCCATGACGTGGATATGGCTGAATATACAGATGAGCTGGATGCCAAGCTGCAGGTGACAGTGCCACGTGCTCTGGTCGTTGAGATCGAATTACCGCTGCTTAGCTCCACGGCCGATTGTCATCTGGATGTGACGGAAAAGTCGGTCTATCTGCTCAGCGAGAAACAAGGGGCCAAATACAAGCTGAAGGTGGATTTACCCTACACTGTGAATGATAAGGCTGGCAATGCACGCTTCGACACGGATCACAGATGTCTACGCATCACATTGCCCGTGGTGCGTTCCACGCCTCGTGAAGAGCGCAACTTGCACGATACCGTGCGGAATCTCAGCCGTGAGGACAGCGGCGTCGAGCTCAACTCGAATGGCGAATCGCCAGTTGAGGATGAGGAACTTGTTGTCGAGCTAAGTGAGCACAATCAAGAAAATGATTCCAATGCATGTAAGTAGATTATATATATATATATATATATATATATATATATGTATACTATATATATAGATCTGTTCTAAATTGCTTTGCTTCGCTTTGATTTGTTTATTTAGTCCCACCCACTGCCGTTGTTTCGCCTCGCTCATTCCTTAAGAGCAATCTGCACTATCTGCTGCCCGCCCAGTTTAATTGCAATATTTTGGACAATGTGATTGTCTTCGTGTTGCACGTGACGAATGTGCAACCGGACTCGGTGCAGACCCTGCAGCAGGCACGCAGCCTGCACTTGCAATTTGCCTCCATGGGCACTGGCTATTATCCCACCCACTATGCGTTCCTAATGCAGCTGCCCGATGGGGTGCAGCCAGAGCTGCGTATCGATCAAGTCGAAGTTGATACTGGCGATGAGAATGTGGTATTGCGACTGACTATGAATGAGCACTGCATGTTGCTGCCTAGCTATCTGGCTGGAACCGATAGCAATGATCTCAAGGAATACCCTGTGTTTGGTCACCAAAATAACAATAATGAGAAAGAAACTGAGGTTGAGGTTGCTGAGATGGAGAAATGCGACCTAGTGTCGGAGAAATCACTACAGATTAACATGGATCACAATGATGTGGAGCACGCACTGGAAGTGACAATTGAGCCGCAAGAGAATGAAGCTCCATTAGACAGTCTAGAACTGCTGCATGAGCATCAGCAGGAGTTACAACAGCTGCATCATCAGAAGAAGCTGAACAAGAAGCAGCGTAAGCGCAACAAGAAGCAACGCTCGCTCTCCGAGTCGGCCTGTGAGGATCTTAAATTGGCTCAAGAGCATCATGAGCAAGTGCTGCAGCAACAGAAAGAGCAGCAACAGCAACAACAACTGAAATTGCAGCAACAGCAGCAGCAGGCAGAACTGCAATTGCAGCAACAACAGGAGCAAAAGGAGAAGGAGAATGAGGCTGAAGAGCAGCTGGAAGATGCGTCTTCAGATTGCTTTACGAGCGTCTCTCAGCCAATGGATACGCTCAAGCTGCCACATCGCAAGCAGCGCAGCTACTCAGAGTGCAACGAGAGCAGCCTTGGTAGCAGCTGCGTGCAACGTGGCATCTTGAAACGTTTCAGTCGCTACGGACCACATCCCTCTATCTCCGATAGCTGCTCATCCATTGATGATTGCTCCTCTACGTATTCGTGCTCAGTGGATGCGGCTGGCACTGGGTTCTCGCAATCGTTCGGCAGCATACCCGAGGAGCGAGGTGGCGATGAAGCAGGTCTGTCGGAGAGCTGCAAGAAGACTGTTAGATTTAATGATCACATCATGAAGCAAGTGTTCAGGTGCGTCTAAATATAAAATGCTTTCAATTGCGACCAATTTCCATCTAATTTGACAATTCGCGTCTCTATTTTTAGGCTTGATTCGAGCATACTGGGCCAACGCAAGAAGAATCAAAAGCGACGCGATTGTAAATTGCGCGCCCAACAGCGTCGCCTCAGCGAGGGCGACTCGGCCGATTACGTGGAGGTGGATTCTACACACGGCAGTGGCGATCAGCCCGCCCACAAGGTAAACTTGTGATAGCAACTGATTGGCAACACTTTGTTAATTTGCCGATTTGAGGAGCTAATTGAATTAGTGCGGCAAGCGCAAATATTGATTTTTATCTACAGCCAGGTCTAGTACATAGTGTTAAATTATCTATTGTCTGGTCAGGAATTCGGAATTCGGTATAAGTAGTCTCTTACGTGTGTAAGCTAGTTAAATATTTAACATAAATTGCAAATTAATTCGCAACTAAATGCGATAATTTAAAGTAAAGCCGGGCATCAACCAGTTTGCTGCAGTCTTATTGCGATTCCAGTTAAATCAGCCCAGCTCTATTAACTGAAGGTCAAAGTTCGGATTGATAAAGAAATATTTCAATTTACTTGCAAATGGTATGTGATTTAGGTAAATAGTTAATTGAGTGATGATGATGCTTGAGATTAGTTAGACATGATAAAGTCAATTACTAAAAGTGGTTAAGCGTAAAGGGGGAATGCTAGTGAAAGCTGTAAAGTACTGATTTGAGTATATATATAGTATATATATTTGAGTATATATAGTATATAGTATCTCTACTCTTTGTCTCATTGGATAAATTGAATCTTATATTCTTATAATTAACTAACTCATGCCTCTTCTTCACCTTTCAGACCGCTGCCAATGCACAGTATTTCAAGCAACACAATAATAATCATCCTCATGTCAAGGATAACAAGAAGCAGTCGCTGCACGACAGCGGCCTTGACTTGACCAATGGTTCCATCAACAACAAAAACAATCACAGCAACGAAAACGCAACTAAACGCAATGAGGCTGATGCCAAGAATACCATGATGTTTGAAATGGATGATGTTGATGAGGAGGCACAGGATGCTGCGAATATATAAAGGAGCTGAGCTCAAGCCACTCTTGATCAGCAAACTGTGCATGTGTTATTTTTCGAGGCAGGTTTTCCATGGAATTTTTGAAGCTACATTTATTAAACTAATTATATACAGCAACAATATAAATGTACTATTATTATTACTATTTTTTTTTTTAACGAAAAGTTTTTGATAGTAAATGTGGTGAACATTGTTTATCGGCAAACAGGCGCTCAATTTAATAACCACATACAATTGCAAATTGTTTAGGTACATATATTTATAATAATATTAATAATAATAAAGAATTAAAAATCAGGGCAAACAAGAAAATCAAAATGATAAAAGGAATATATAAATTCACCTACGTGTACATGGTTATATACATGCATAAATATAATTGTTATTTAATTTGGTTAAAATGAAATTGGAAACAAATTGTTAAATTACAAAGTTCTCATAATACTATTTTTTAGATCATACAAACACACGCATTACCATCTGAATATATATATATACACAGGCACACACATACGTATATATGTATACAAATTAAATTAACAAGAAGTCTCATGAAAATTAGTTATAACAAATGCAAATTACAAATGGCAACAAAACAATATCAATAGTTAACAATGCATATATGCAATACATACACACACACACACACTTGCATTCATAGTGTATAAGCTATTTACATATACTATATACTGGCTGCCGATACTAAATGTACGAGTAGTTTTTAACTTTTTTAAACAGCCACAAGTTAAATATACAACAACAATATAAATCTTGGGTGTATGTAAATCTTATTGGGGACGTAATGCTTACACTTTTTTATAAACATTTTAAAATTTTCGGATAGTATATTTCATTAATATCGAAGCTCATTTGCGCCTAAGACATGACTTTATTCACGCTGCCCTTTAACATCAGCCAGTCTGTTACTTAGCAGCAGCTGCTTTGCAGTAACAGCAGCTTGGCTTAGCAACGGCTTAACAGCTGTTAATGGCTGCTCCGTAAGTACGCAATGAAATTTGTATTCAATTGTTTGCTGCCTTGCTGCAACTTCTGTTCGCCTGGTACTTTAGTCGAAATTTCGTTCGAATCGAGCGAACCAGCGGAGGAACTGGAATTTTTGGGCCGTTAGAATTTGAAAGCGAAGTAAATGGCCATTATGCTCATTGAAGAACGATTTATATTAAAATTCTTTTTAAATAATTTATTTTCATGCATGCTTATGTATAAATATAATAATATTCTTAGCAACAAAAACTTCAACAAAATATATACATACATATTTACACAGTTCATATAAGCTAATTAAAACGCTCCTCCAGCTGTTTACGTATAAATGGCATTTGCTGCAGCTCGCGACGTTTCACTTCCAGCACATAGAGCACCGGACAATCTAGTGAGCCGCACTGTAGATCACCCAATCTGCCGCAACAGGCCTGGCATATCTGCTGCGTCAGTCTGTAGCCACGGTCCAGCTGCGCCAGCTTCGCCTGGAGTGTGACAACGCACTTGGTTGGCATGCGCGCACACTCCGCACAGATGCCCGCTTTGGTCTGGCGGCCACACTCAATGATGCAGTTGGTCGTTGAGAAATATTGGGATATGGTAGACTTGGCATTGCCGCGATTCAACAGCTCACCTGCCGTCGACTGGGCGGGCGTCATCAGCAGTTTGCGTGGCAAGTTGCTGAACCTGTGAAGGAATTGAATAGCTTAAGATTGTGTTCCAAGAGTGCAGCTCATTCTATTACCAATCATTCACATCGGCTCCTATGAGCAGCAGGCAACGATTCAGTGGAGGTATGATGGCCTTGGTTATATAGTAAATCGCATTGATTTTGTAGCCCTCATTGGCCAGTATCTCGTGTGGATGACGCACCAGCCGTATGAGCTGCACACCTGGCGGACCATTTATGATGCAGAAGGGCACACGCTCACCACGACGTGGCACGCGTCGGGGATCCTTTAGCATCCATTTGCTGTATGCGTAGACCAGGAGATATTCAGTAAATATATATATTTTTTTTCTCAACTTGATTTTCTTACCGCGTCAGCTCCAGTGCCGGCACACAGGCTGTGGGCTTATAGCCATTCAGACCCCGAAACTCCTTGGCAAAGATCAAATCCTGCAGATTGGCACGACCCGAGAGCAGCTTGGTGAATTGCCGGCACACGTACTGTTTGATTTGACTCACGTCCGCCGTTTCGAAGAGCAGCCGCAGCACCTTCTCCAGCATTTTGGCCACAGCTGGACAACCGTCTCGCCGCACCGTTTCAATGCCTTTCGCCTCGTAGACGGGCTGCTCTTGCTCGGGCGTCTCATACATGTAGCCCACATAGCGCTTCTTAGTCTGCAGCATGCACGGCTGATAGACCTTCTCCAGCTTCAGCTTAACTGGGTGGGGATTTATTTGCGTTACTGCCTCTGCGATTTCCTCGCCTATGCGAAAGGCCTCAGCGCGATTGCGTCCGGGCACGAGCACGAACATGGAATCCGTATCGCCATAGACAACACGCACGTTCCACTTCTCGTTCGTCTCCACCAATTTGATGGCACGCTCCAGGGTCTCTCGGCCCTTGGACACTACCGAATCGCCCACCTCGACGGCGGGCATGCGTCCACTGAAATTGGCCGCCGTATAGCCATAGGTAACATTTGCCATCAGCTTCAGGCCCAACTGCCGGGAGTGCAGCACACGCTGCAATGCGGAGCTGTCGCGATGCAGCTTCATCGATTGCTTCACCATGAGACGCGTATCCAGAATCTCGCTCAGCATGCGCGGCAAGATGCCCTCGCGTACCTCCCGCTTAACGAAGACCACGCCACATGGCGAAATGGTTACCAGATCCCGTTCCAGTAGCTGCTGCAGCAACTGCCGTGAGACACGCAACATCGAGGCACCAAATTCGAACGGGGTGTTGCTGCCCAGATGCTCCACACGGCCCAGGCACGTCGAGAAGCAATAGTTGTAGGCGATAATCATACTTGGATACAGACTCTGAAAGTCCAGCACGATGAGCGGATCAGCATAGAACCGAGACTCCGGCTCCATGATGAGTGCCAAATACTCGGGGGCACGCATGTGGGCGCGCTGCTGCACACTGGGCGAAAGCGGCACCAAATTCTTTGGCTTGGCAATTCTATAAATGAAGATTGGACTTGATATTGACAATGCTTACAGGTAAATGCAATCTGATACCCACCGCAACATCATGCTCTCCACCCGAAACTGCGAACCACGGGAGAGCACCTCGTAGAACTGTATGCCAATCAATTTAGCCATCTCACTCGTGCGGCCCAGCAGATCCAGCTGGTCGAGCAGCGCCAAGGTGCCCCTCACCCGCTCCAAATAGTACTCCAGCACAATCCAGCGGGTGCAGGGCGAGGCATACCAATCGCTCAGGGCACGCGGACTGTGCCAGGGACAACGCTTGTGCAGGATGTGATACATCACGTTCTCAAAGCTGTACGAGGTGAGCGCAATCTCGGAGCGCATTAGACGCCAGACATCTAAGAGAATTCGACCACAGAGCTTCATCTCCACATCGAGATCTGTAAACGATTCACGCTCTTCGTCCACAAAGTCTCGCACCTTCTGCGTGGGCACACGCGACAGCAGTGGCGCTATATTGAAGCACAAATGCTTGGCACGCTCAATCACATAGCCCCAGGAGCTCATTTCGATCTCGTAGCCGGCATAGATGTCCGCATCCCAGCGTGTGCAGAGCGCCAGCAGCGCTTCAAATGCCTGTGCCTCGCTCTGCACCACCTGCAGTTCAATGTCCGCATCCAGGCCATGATGACGTCCCTCACTTAAGATGTCCTGACTATCGCTGACAATAATATAGCCGCACGCTTTGCTCGGCAGCGACTGTGACTGCTCCGGCAAACTGTGCTCGATGGCGTAGAAGAGGCAGCGTATCTCATCGTGCAACGGATCCGGCAGCAGCTCGCCACGCGTCGGCACAAACAGCTCCAGTGTCATGGTGGTCAAATAGTTGCACTATGGAAACATAGATCAAATATCAACAATAGTTCAAACAGGATGAGTTCATATCGATTCACCCACCTCGATGTCCGCTTTGGCTTGTTGCAGGTTCTCCAGATTCACCTTGAAGCCAAAGGTATTGTCCAGCGTGGCATTGGTGAGTCCGAAGCTCAGCTCATGGCTATTGCGTCCGCTGCTGATGCTTCTGACGAAGGAGCTGCGTTCCAGTGCCTCCAGGGCAGCATTGCTGCTCACGCTTTTCTCGCTCGACTGACTGCTGCTCGGCTGCTCCTCCTGTGCGGCTTCAAACTGGAGTTTTGTGGCACGCTTGGAGCGCATCTTGCTGCTGAGTGGCGTGCCCCTGGCTTGGGACTTTGCTGCGCCACTGTGCTGTGGCGTCTGTGACATGGGCGTCAGCGTTAGCCCACTACAATTTAGGTCGCCATCCTCATCGCCACTGGCTCCACCCTCAGCATCAACTTCATTAAGCATCATGGTTATTTTCTGACGCTTGATTTTGATGGGGCTGTCCACATCATTGCCCGCAGGCCGCAGCTCCTCCTTCTCGCCTTGGCGCTGCTTGTGCAGCTCCCTTGCCTTCAGCCACAGCTTGGCATCCTGCCTGCTGGGCGGACTCATTGCGGGCTCCATGACCAGCCGCTGTTCGCTGCTAAAGTACTCCCGCACCTGCTGCTCATTGCGATAGCGCTGCAATATAGCCGGTCCACCAATCGACACCAACTGCTTCCGTCGCCAGGCAGCCAGACCTTGATTGCTATGCAGAACGCTGCTTTCAAAGGGCTCCAGATCATTGAGCTTGTTGCCCGGTATGCGCAACACCAAAAAGCCCACCTCGGTCATTTTGCTGACATCCGCAGGATTGCTATAGAAGGGTTGCTGGAACACATACTCGGGTATATCCAATTTGCGGCAGCTGTGCAACACCTCCTCATAGCTGGGCGGCAGCTCCAAGGGAGCTATCACAAGTGCGTTGGGATCTGCTGTTGTTGAAGTTGGATTAGCATTGGCCTCCAGCTTAATTTGTGCCGACGACTGGGGACTGTCTATGTCGTCGCTGAATACGGATGGGCTGTTTATGATCAACGAGTGCTCATAGAAACTTTTCATCAGCTCTGGCGTATTGTTATCTAGACTTCGTGGACTACACTGGGGCGTGTCAACATCTTCGTTTGCAGTTTCATCTGTTGCGCCAACTTTTAAAGATTGATCAGGAGTCACAGGTGTTGACAATTGACTTAATGGATTCACAGATCTCACTGGCATTGGACTTGCCAAGATTTGACTTTTAACGCTTGTGCTGGAAGGTCGACTGTTAGAGCTCTCTGGCATTGGAGTTGCTATAGCTTGACTGCTTGGATTCTCTGGCATTGGAGTTTCCGCAGTTTGACTTCTTGGCACAGTTCGACCCAGTGGAGTCTCTCGAACTGGACTAGTTGTAGTTTGACTCCTTAAATTCTGTCGCATAGAGCTTGATGCAGCTCGACTCCTAGAGCTCCCTGACATGGGGCTTGCAGTAGCTTCACTTCTGGCAACCTCTGGCACTGGACTTGCTACAGTTCGACCCAGTGGAGTCTCTCGAACTCGACTTGAACTGGATGCAGTTCGACTCCTAGAGCTCTCTCGCTCTAGACTTGCTGTAGTTAGACTCCTAGAGCTATGTGGCATTGGACTTGACAAGATCTGACTTGATGCCTTTTGATTCTCTGGCATGGAACTCGATGCAGCTCGACGCCTAGATATCTCTGGCGTTGGACTTGCTATAGCTTGACTCTTTGCATTCGCTGGCATTGCACTTGTTGCAGTTCGACACAGTGGAGTCTCTGCAACTGGACTGGCTACATTTTGAGCCATTGGACTTTCTGGACTTTTACTCCTTCCACTCTCTGGTGTGTCTGATGACTGACATTGTTTTATTTTACTCAGCGGTGTCGCCCGTTTGGCCAGCAATGATTCCCGAAAACTCCTTCGTAATCGTCTTAGATTGGGTCTGGCCACAGATCTGTCGCTCTCTGTATCAGATACAATTGCCTCATCATCGCTAGTTGCAGCAGGAGAGTCTGCAACCGGGCTAATCTTTCCCAAATTGATGTTTGCCTTAGGAGCCGGGTGATCTTCTTCAGCTTGTTTAGCTTGCTTGCGTTTACTGCGACGTGGCTGCTTCTGCTCCATTAGTGACTCCTCTGTTGCAAAGACTTCAGAAATGGGTGTATTCTTCTGGCGCGGCGTCAAATAGCAAGCAACGTGCGTTTTGTCCATATTACGCGTGCTGCGGCGCGTGCTGCGACGTGGAGGAGTGCTAAGTATATACGAAACTATATATATAAAGGAACTTTAAAGAGAAGACTAACTTAACATACGAATCATCCCGTAGAGCTTCCAGTTCTGCGAAAGAGTCTGTGGAAATGGTCTTACGGCGTAGCTCGGACATGGCCACCTTCTTGCGCAGCGATACAGCTGGACTATATGTGAAGAATATGGAGTTATCAGTAGAGGTTAAATATTCTTGATATGTGATTATACCTCTGGACGTTCGTCTCAAGCTGCTGGCTCAGACGCTTCTTGATGGCATTGCTCGCTGGCACTGGCATAACAGCTGCTGCCTCCTGCTCCTGTTCTGCAAGTGAATAAGAGTTTTAGAATGAGGGAGTATTAATATTTAAAATACCCACACCTACTCTGTGCAGATCTGCTCGTTATAGTCAAAGGTAACGGTGCATATTTCTTGGCCGCACTAGACTTGGGCGTGCGTGGCTGCTGCCTGCTTATGCGACCTTTGGGTGTGGTAGGTGTGCGTGGTGGAGTCCGTTGTTGTGTGCCTCTCTTGACCTTAGTGGGCGTGCGCTGCAGCTGATCGTCGGCCCCATCGATTTGCGGCATTTCACGCTCCTGACTGGTCGCTGGGCCAGGCACACTCTGACTCTGGCTGAGCTTAAGCAGCAGCTCATCGATGTCATCCAAAGCGACGGAAAAGTCATGCGCATTGCCAGCTGCGTTGTCATCATCCGAGTTGTCGCTCTCGTCTTCGGACAATGGCTGCTGTGTGGCTGCTGCAGCTGTTTGTTTGTCCAGCAGCTCAGGCGTTAGCTCGACTGAAAAATCAGTTAGAAATCCATGAAAGTAATTACAAAACTTAATTTATCTATGGCTTTACACTTCTTATGCTGCTGCGAGAGCTGCGCTAGTGAGCTGTCCAAGTCGATGTGCGATTCATTTGCATTCTCCTCCTCCAGCTGCTGCAGCACTTCTAACAGCTCCAAATCCTCTTCGCGCACTGAAATTAGATTGAATTTAGTTTTTTATATATTGCTATCAATTTTATATACGCTTACGTGTAGCATCGTGTGGCACTGGACCATTGGCTTGTTGCTGCAGTTCCTCATCCACTAACGTATCATCCAGAAAGGCAGCATCATCTTCATTCTGAGCGTCCTGGACTGGACTGTGCACACTTCCGCTGCCCGATAGATGATTTTGTATAGTTGAAGCATTGATCAACTGCTCCTGGGCATACTGGCTGCATTCCTCAGGATAAACCGCATTGACCAAAAGCTTCTGCAAATTAAATTGACGACGCTGCTCCTTGGCGCTGGTCTGTAACGTGATATTTATATTGCTGATCTGTGTTTGATCAGCCAGAGTTTGCTCGCCGCTGACTGTTTGGTCCAAGGACAACAGTTTGCTCTCTAGAGCAGCACGATAGAAATGATGGCTCTCTGCAATTTCCACGTTCGGACGCTCCTGCGTGGGCGGCACTTGCAGCACAGGCAGCTGCAAATGAAGCACATTTATAAGTAAATTTGTAGAGATTGGCATGAGTGTAATTCCAATATGTACCGCATTTAGTTTCTGGCTATCTCCACCATAGCTCTCAGCCAGCTTTTGTCTGCGCACGTGCTCATCGTGCCAGATGGCCTCAATACCGGGATTTGTGTGCGTTGAATTCGTTTTGGTAACCAACTGAAAACGATTCAGTATAAAGTTTGAGCTGATGTCTACTTCTAAAGCACTGCAGGCGACTTTCTTAACAGAACTGGGATCCAAGAGCTGCTGGGGTTTCACATTCGCATAGGCCACAACTGCAAGGGAAGCGAAAAGGAGTTAGAATTCTGGCTAAATGGATTATTTATAACCTTATACCATCTTCCTCTGTTTGCCGACGAAATTTGACAACCTCAAGCGGCACATGCAAGTAGCTCATGCCATACAAATTATAATCGATCATGAATTGTAGAATGTAGGGTACATGCGATTCGTGTGGATTGAAATTTCGGTTCAATATTGCGCCGCTTTGCAATAAATTAGCTGCGCGCCTTACAAAACGAGGATTGAACATGAAAATCTTGAAAAACTGATGCTCTGTGCGATGATAGCCATAGAAGGGACTACAATAGAGTAGAAGAAATATTATTTACAAAGAAAAATTGATATTATATAAATAACTTACATTCCCTTAACCAATTGTATTTTAAAAACATGCTGCGCATTGGAGCTGCCCTGTCCCAGCGATATATTGATGGCCTTGTCTAAATGCATCGCTATTTGCAATATGCCCCGTTCCACAGTTTCAAAGTCCCGCTTATCGTAGGGTATGTAAAAGTAGGGAAAGACACCATGCACATGCATGCAGCATTTCTGGCCATTGGCATTTGCGCCAAATATGCGCACAATGGGCACCTATCAAAGAAGAATATATATATACACACATTATTAATGCCATAATTGAAGAAACAGTTAAACTTCTTACGCGTTTAATTTCCTTGCCGCGCAGCTCCGAGTAACACGGATCGAGACCAAACACCGGCTTTTCCATATAAAAATCGGCAATCACCAACCGCACCGAATAAATGCCGTCTATGTCCGACATTTTCTATTCGTCCTTTAGCATATATGCCGGCGAAAATCATTAAAATTACAGCGGCTCACTTAATTTAAACAAGCTTGTTTACTCTTAGTGCTGGGGAATGCCAGGGCTGGAATAACTTTGTACGGCAACATTGTGAAATTCATTAACAGCTCTCGTACGACTAAGAGATTGGCGCCAAATCACGATGTGTGCCAGGGCTGCGTAAATCATAGTCTGGCAACGCTGCCAAGACGAACTCGTAATTCGATACTTAACGAAACTTGCTTAACGAATTTTAAGCGCTTGTCGCTATTGAGTAATTAACGAAACTTTAGTCGTTACAATAAAACAATTTGAATTCAGGCGCCAATATCTATTTTATAGTGATGACGTAGTAAGCTTAAGCAACGCAATATTTTTAGAAATGAAGACGACCAATACTTAACCTCTAATTAAACTAAGTCATATTATTATGACTAGCGGCTTTGCAGTACATTTAATAAGCAAACACTTGGGCCACAGTCAATAAACGCTTACACAATGACCTTGTGTAAGATATTGACCATCCATTGTTATCTGTCATCCAATAATAATTCAAGTGAAATTGTCACCTAAAAGTCCCCCTGTACGTGACCGTGTGTATACTTAAGAGGGCTACAGAGATAAAACTACCCAATGGGAATCCCAAGAGAATTCCGAAACAGAGCACAGCTCTCCGAAAGACAAAGGCAATGCGTGGCTGTATATAAACTGGTTGCACAATCAGTTGAGCCAAATCAGTCGAACTGAACAGCCTAAGCAGCCAACAACATTTACAATGAAGTCTATCGTGTGCTTAACTTTGCTCGTTGTCGTGACTCTGGCAATAGCTCAACCTGTGGTCAAGGAGACAGTTGAGGTAAAGGAGGATTTCGTCGTTAGCCCAGCTGCTTTGGAGGAGGTGCAGCCTGCAGCACCCGTTGCCCATCAACGTTATAAGCGTGCCACCTGCGATCTGCTCAGCTTCTTGAATGTGAACAATTCAGCCTGCGCTGTTCACTGCTTAGCCAAGCGCTACAAGGGCGGCTATTGCAATAGCAAAGCTGTTTGCGTTTGTCGTAATTGAATTGTACAACTTTTCCCCCACTTTTCCCAAATAAATGATTTATCAATAAATTAAATGAGCATGCTCTCATATAGTAGTATTAACTTCTATTTAACTCATTTACATTGATTAGTTTTCAACTGCGATATTTTATACAAATATTTATCTACGTTTATCTACAGATTCTTTTCATTTATAATAATTTATTTAGTTTCCCTTAAATAATTTCAATAACTACATTTAACTGTAAATTCTATTCATTTTGTTACGTTTTGTAATATATAATTTCTCTTATAGCATTTTAATCCACCGTCACATATATAATAAGTAAGAACGGGTACTACCTACTGCAGAATACTCCTTCACTGTCAAAACGCTACCAGATCAATTATCTGGCTATGCCCGTTTCAAGTTGTTTTATGTAGATGAGTGAAACTAACTGTAACAGTATAGAAGATAAAGGTTCTTTCGATTCGACACGGTCCGGTAGCTGTAGATATAATCGCATTCCCGTAAATAATTGTAATTTTACAGTAATTTTTTTTAAATTTTCTTATTGTATATAAGGATACATACGCTTAGATTGAAATTGACTTTTTTCCGAAAGTAGAGCGAATTCAGTTGTTATTTTTTGCAAGTAAGTGAGACAGACGTGTTCTAACCGTTCTTTATTAAAATCTCTATTTTGCACAAAATAAACATACGATCATTTCACGGGATTGCGACGATAAGTTCAAATATTTACCACAACATTTCATTTTCCAATTCGCCAGACCTGTAGAACACCTGTTCAAATTATCTTTGCGATATTTGAAGTATCGTAGCTACGTGGCAACATAAGGTGCTAACAACAATTACAATGAAGAATATCGCGTGTCTGATTTTGCTAGTCGCTTTGGCTATGGCAACAGCTCAAACTGAGGTCACGGATATTGGGAATACTACTACTACTACTACTACTACTACTACTGCAGCAGCTCTTTTGGAGGAGACAAGACGTGGCAGAAAATTCCGAGAGACTTGCACCCGGAAAGGCACCAAATTTGTGAAGAACCAAGCCTGCCAAGCTTACTGCATAATGAATGGCTATAGATCCGGACATTGTAACAAAAAGGATTGCATCTGTACCAAAAAAGGAAGAAAATTGTAAATAATAGAGGAAATTGTAAAATTTGTAAATAAAATTAAAGACCGCTCTCGTACTTATATAAGTTGTTCCATCTATTTTTATATAATTTCAGCTCAATTCCGTGAATTCCCTGAACCCTTCGAGCAACTGATATTTCCAGAATTATTCGCACATGCACACACACAGATACGCACGCACGCATAAACACATTATTATTATTATTATTATTATTTTTATTATTATTATTATTTTTCATGGAAGCGACAAATGCAATACTGCTATATGGCAGTGAAGTATGGGCGGATACCTTAGAGGCGAATGTAAGGCGAAAACCGATGCTAGCTGTGCAACGAAGAGCAGCCTTAAGGATAACATCGGCGTACCGCACAGTCTCCGGGGCGGCCGTGACTGTGATAGCAGCAGTCATACCGGTTGACTTGCTTGCCCAAGAGCGCAAAAAAATATGGAATCTTCGGCAAAGAGGAGAATACTCAGAATGTGCGGCAAAGAGCATACGACAGCAAACCATAGTCTCGTGGAAGGCGAGATGGTCATGCGAAAGGTATGGAAGATGGACCGCTAAAATAATACCCGATCTGGAGCAGTGGATAAATAGAAAGCACGGTGAAACGTCTTTCTATTTGACACAACTACTCTCCGGACATGGATACTTTCGAAAGTACCTAAATAAAATGGGGAAAACTGCCGAATCCAGCTGCATTTACTGCGAAAATGCAATGGACGATGCAGAACACACCTTCTTCAATTGCAAAAGATGGTCGGAAGAAAGAATCGACCTGGCAGAAACAGTAGGTGAAGTCAAAGCAGAGACGTTAGTACAGCAAATGTGCAGCAGCATAGACGCTTGGAAAAAAGTCTATGACTTCGCCGAAAAGGTTCTGCGGCGGAAGAAGTATGACCTGGACGCAGGCACACAGAGGGCAACGCTCATTTAGAGCACACAATGGGGTTCCACCTTGAAGGGTAATGCGGGATATCTCCTGGTTCCAAGGTGGATTTGAGCCCCGGAAGAGGAGGATTTTTTAGTCGTTAAGCAGTTATGCAGTCCGACACACCGGTCAAAGTGACGACATGACTGACGGTGCATAAAGCATTTTTTCCAACCTCAGCCCAAAAAAAAAAAAAAAAAAAAAATTATTATTATTATTATTATTATTATTATTATTATTATTATTATTATTATTATTATTATTATTATTATTATTATTATTATTATTATTATTATTATTATTATTATTATTATTATTTTTATTATTTTTATTTCTTTTGCCATAAAAAAAAACTGTAAAATATCAAGTTAAACCGCAAAATGCATTTCTCCGATTTGTTACACTCGAGGAGCTGGCGTTCAAATTGGATTTGGGATATTTATGGATGTATGTGTACGTATATAAAAGCGGCGCACAGTCACTTGAGAATTGTGATAAGGTAAAGTTAAAGCAGTTAGCAACATCTACAATGAAGTCCATCCTGTGTCTGGTTTTGCTTGCGCTCATGGCTCTGGCAATGGCTCAAACTGATGATAACCTGTCACCTGACCAGCGATCCCTCTGCAAGGGGGGGAATGCGATCTGCAATGCCTACTGCCAGTCAAACAAGTATAGGGGCGGAAAATGCCAGGGAAATTTTTGCGTTTGCTATGAATGAAATGCATAATTGTAAAATTATGTAAAAATTTTAAGATTTTTTAATAAATTCTATGAACATACTTGTGTATAGTTGATATAGTTTATAGTGTATATATACTATATAGTGTATATATACTATATAGTGTATATATATATATATTTTACATTTATGTATTGCTTAACTGACATCATCGATTTTTTTCACAGTCGATAGTGACACCATCGATAGTACTATCGAAAATTTAATATAGTTAAAACTTAAAGTCGGCATTTACATCTACATTTATAGCTAGAATATATAAGAAGAAAAACATAAACAAAAAATTCAAAATTTTACATTCAATTTTTACTTTCTTCATATTTAGCATCATTACATTATCTTGGGACTAATTCCACAAGAAGTAAATCCATATATATGAATACATCCTTATATTGTCCTATCATTGTCATTATACTCATGATGGCCTGACCTATACTTCTCCACACTGCCTATTTTTTTTTTTTTTTTTTTTTTTTTATCGAAACAATAGAAAACCGGGAAATTTTGGTGTCGGGTCGGGACATCGGGACATTATCTCCAAACGCGGAATATTTTGCTATCATCAGATTTTGAAAGTTTGATATACATTGATAATCCATCTACAACACGTCAACTGCTCTACCACTTGGACAATTCTCTACCACTACAAATAGGAAGTCTTCTGGCATACCGGAAAATATGTTATCAGATTTGCCACACCCGTTGAGCATGCGTTCAAATTGGATTTGGGATATTTAAAATGTTACGGCTACGTGGAATCAGCACAAGGCAACGCTGTGGTGTATAAAAACCCGACGCACCAGTCCGTTGAGGCAAGAGAAGAGTTAACAGTTAACCAGCTAACAAGATCTACAATGAAGTTCATTCTTTGTCTGATTTTACTGGCTCTCATGGCTATGGCAAGGGCTAAATCTGAGGTCGAGGAGCCTGAGCCTCCTTCGGAGGAGGTGGAGGACAAACGGCTTTTATCACATTCTGTCTGCAAGTGGTTTGATTCCCCTCTTAATAAGAATAGAGCTTGCGTTGCTTACTGTGTATTACATGGATATTGGACCGGACGTTGCGATGTCTGGCATGTTTGCCATTGTGTACCCAGATATGTTAAATAACAAACTTTCGTAATGCATTTAAAGAATTTTAGTTAATTTTAAATGAACCTGTTCGGGCGATCCCGAAATTGCCCGACCTAACAAATAAAGCAAATTTGGAACATCTATTTTCTATGTTTCTCCACATAATCCCCTTTTGACTCTATACCATTTTCTATATGATGTCCTATGGATGCTGTTTATACACGATTCTGCCCTTTCAGTCCGCTCACTGTGATCAATTAAATTGAGAATTGAATTGAATATATCACAGTTATGTATGAATCATCGCCAAATCCTCTATAGAAACATCTAAATATTTCCTATCTTCAACTTCGAATTTTCGATCAAGAGACTACGTAGAGCTCTTTGTCAAATGCTTGTAATTTTGCCCAGGTCCTATACCAGGTTTTATACCGTCTAAGCTGCTAGTCAGCATGAATCTGTTGATCTGAATTAGCAGACTCCCCCAGAGTCCGTCCGTATGATCGTCGAGATCTCGGAAACTACTAATGCTACAGCCATGAAATTTTAAAAATCGCTTCTATCACTTATTCCATTTTTGCTCATTCAACTTATGATTTAATCATTTATTTTTACAAGTTTGGGAAAAGTTTTACAATTCAACGAACAAAGACGAAAAAATTCTCTCAAATTTATATTTTTAATTTGTCGGGCAGTTTTGGGATCGCCCGAGAACGTTCATTTGAAATTATTGCACAATTTTTAAATACATTTCGATTATTTTCTTTTTCGAACACAACGGCAAATGCCATCGGCATCGCAAAATCCGGCGTGAAAACCATAGGCTCTGCAGAAAGCACGGCAGGTTCTGTGCTTATTAACCAAGACTTTAAACCAACTGCAGATCCTACGGGACGTATTAACTGGGTCTTCCACTTCCACTTCCATCAAATTTTCCTCAACAGCCCTATCCACAGGCTCCGTGGTCGCGGCACCGTCGTCAGTTTGAGCCATTGCCATAGCCATGAGACCAAGTAAAAACAGACACAGGATGATCTTCATTGTAAATGTCTTTAGCTGCTTAGACTGCAATGTTGAACTGATTTCAGCTGGCTGTACATCGGGTTTATATAGATCCAAATCCAATTTGAACGCCAGCTCGACGGGTGTAACAAATCGGAAAATGCATTTTTCGGTTAGACTTAATGTTTGAAATGGTAGATAGTTGATTAAGATCACACAGATATCACAGATATACGACTATACATATCTACACCTACCGAACCGTGTCAGATCAGCAGAAACTTGATTAGTTATAACTGAAAAGGTAATGGAATAATTTTAAATATTTCACGTAAATCCAGATTCTTTTCATTTCGTTACGTTTGGTATTATATAATTTCGCTTATAGAATTTTAATTTCGTACGGGGACGCCGTTATTTTTTATGGGGTATTTGCTGCAGAAGAAGCCTATGAAATTGGTTGACAAAATAAGACAGAGCTCTGCGTTTTTCAAAAAAAAAAAAAAAAAAATTATTAATAATAAAATAAATAAATAGGGTAAAGAACATTCATCAACATTCAAAGCCTTTCTGCTTCTACCAGCACCGTTATTTCACTGCTCACAAAAGTCTATTTAAAGTGGCAGCTGATGATTTATTTATTTTTAATTATTATTTAATCTAATTGCATTTGGAATACAATGAGGCTCAAAAATTTGCACGGGTATGTGAATACACCTATTCGAAAAATATATAAACAACTTGGCGCTGCATCTACGCAAATTGGGAATTGACTAACATTTTTATTTTATAACTTTTGCGTTACTTAATGGATTACCATGAAATTTTCAGCATATGTTCTACATATAACTGTAAAACATTCTCGATTCGCCACGGCCATGGCCACCACACGATATGCGTGGATATGTATATTCGCCACATCTTTTTGATCCATGTCGAAGATCCGAATCCGTATCCTGGTTCTTGTATGACCCCTGCATTTGTTATTGCAGAAATTGTAAAACTATGAAAAGTTTCAAGATTTTTCAGTAAATGAAATCAACATACTTGCTTGCAGTATATATGTATATAAGTTTATTTATTGCTTTGTCGAGCCGCAAACAACAAAAACACCAAAAATTTCAATTGATGATTCAGTTGTTTTTATATCTTTGTTGGCTCCGCTCTTTAAAAATCTTTAAAAAATTAAATAAATAAACGCAAAATTGATTAGTTTTAGCTAACAAACACTTGTGAAATGGCGATTGGTGCAAAAATTCTTTCATTTTCTTTTGTTTGCTTAATTTTATAAAAATTGGTAACATGCATTTTGTTAATTCATTTAACTACAGTTTCGTTTTGTCTCATTTCGTGACGTGTTCATTTCTATAAGTTGAAGTATAAAATGTTGTTAATCAACCGACATATGTATAATTATTCGATTTAATTGTTATACATACATATGCATATACTTATAGTTTCTTTTTATATACTAAGTTAACTTGGTTAGAATTAGTTAATGTATATTTGATGTATGCAATAAACATATTATATATATCCATATTAAATATTATAATTGAGAAAAAATGTGTTAAATATACATATTATTATATTTTGTTGCGCTTTAAATTATTTTTTTTTTTTTTTTCATATAATTTTTTTATAATTGATTTTTTTTTAAGGATATATTTTTGTTGTATGAATTTCGTAATCATTTATATTTTACTATTAAATATATATTATTATTATAATTTTTTTTTTTTTTTTTTTTGCATTAATTTATTATTTTTCTTCTGTAATTTTTGAAGTTATTTTGAAATATAAAATTGGTTGCTTGAATTTCATATAAAACAATTTGTTATTTTAATTTTTTTTTTTTTTTAATATTTATATAACTACTTTTCCACTGAATTTTGTTTTTTTATATATATATATTTTTGTTCAAAGCTTTTTTAACACATAAATTTGGTATGAAATGTTTTTTATTTTATTTTAATTAAAATAAAATTTGTATTATTTTTAAAAATATATTTTCCAGTGAATTTTGTCTGAAATGATTATTTATTCATTTATATTTCCTAAAAGATGTTTTTTTTTTTTATATAAAATTTTTTTCGATGAGTTTTGTCGGAAATAATTATTTTTTCATTTATATATTTTAAAATGTATTTTTTTCATATAAAATGTATTTGATATTTTTTTCTTAGGGTATTTTTTATGAAATATTTTGCTTCCTTATTATTTTGGAGTTTTAATTTGTATTATATAATATTTATTTAAATAATTTGTTATATTTGTTTTTAGTAAAAAAGAGTTACGAACATATAGCACAGATTTTTTGATTTTGTTGTTGTTGTTGTGTGTATTAAAAGCTCCATAAATTAGAGTTTTATAAAGAGTATATATAGATATATAATAATATATAGTAATATTAATATATATAATTTTAAAGAGGCTAGCAAAGTTTTAAATTTCATAATTTAGTTTGTTTTGTTTTTTTTTTTTTTTTTTTTTTTTTTTTTTTTTTGTTTGGCCAAATCACAGGAGAATTAGAAGTTTTAATAACAGAAAAGTCTAAGAGAGTTAACAGATTAGTATATATCTAACATATAACATATATACTATATAGAGTATATCAAGCATGCATTCACACACACACACACACACACACACACACACACACACACATTATGTTAAATAAAAGTTTTTAGTTTAAAGCTTATGAACACACGAGATTTGCTTTTTGTGCTTGACCAAGTTTTGTTTTTGTTGTTGCTTGTTCTGTTTTTTAGGCCTCTCATTTTGTTAATTTGTGTATAAAGATTGTATATTCAATTTTGATTTAATATTATAAAAAGAGCATATTTATATATTAAAAAAAAAAAACGCTCAACATGTTTGCTTTATTTATGTTTTTGTTTCAATTCTTTCTTCTTCTTCATCACTTTTGTTTTTGTATAATAAATTATGTCTATATATATATATATTTTAGAAATATGTAAGTAGGAGGCGCACATTATTTATTACTTTCTCTCTCTCTCTATCTCTCTCTGTTTTCCCTTTCCTTTTCTTTGACTTTACTTTACGACTTAGAAATACAACTTTTAAAAAATTGTTTTGTTTTTCTTTTAGAAAATGTGATATTAATTATTGAAAACAAATATAAACTAAATTGTAAACAAAAACAAGAGTAAAATATATATCAAAAAATAAATAGTAACTAGTGAAAAAGGTATTCATATATATATATAAAATATATGCATATCAAGGTAAAAGGTAAACCTAAACGCATTCAGCATTCAGCTTCAGCTGCATCTTTGCCTCTGATTCTCATTCGCCTGCCCCTGCCACACTCTTAAACGTCTACAACCATCTTCTTGTGTATATCCGTATTGCCCACAACCGAACAGAATTCATCGAACGATATCTTGCCATCCTCATCCTTGTCCGCAAAGCCGATTGTCTTGTCCACAATCTGCTGCAGTTGCGTGTCTTTCAAATTGTTGCCAACCATCATTTTGAGTACCTGTTGGAAATACATTATATTGATAAATAAATATTCACTCCAATTTCGCTCTCATCTCATTCTCACTCACCTGAAACAGTTCACCATTCGATATATAGCCATCGTTGTCCATGTCATAGATGCGAAAGGCGAAGCGCAGCTTCGACAATTTATCGCCCTTCACGCTGAACTGGGATACGCCTTGGATGAACTCCTTGAAGTCCACCTCGCCATTGCCATCCGCATCGAAAATGTCAATGACGCGCTGCACGAGCGGATTCTGTTGCAGTTCCGGCAGCGACATGAACTCATCCACGCTCAATGCGCCCGAATTGTCCAAATCCAATTTGCGGAAACGTTTGCCCAAACGACGAATCTCATCTGCATCGACTGAGAGAGTAACACAAAGAGAGAGAGAGAGAGAGAGAGAGACAGAGAGAGGTAAACAAAGTGAAAGAGAGATGAGAGTTAGTATTAGTTACATATGGAAACAGTTTCCTCAAGTCAGGTGTGACTGCCTGCGCCCTGTATACTCGGTGCACCCTGTGCTGCTCGTGATCGTCTCTATTTATAGAGCATCACTCGCCCCCCGCCTAAGCGAAAATGACAATGAAAATGTTTATTGATATTCATAATATGCATAGGCTAATTAAAAATAGAGCAACTCTCAGCAACAAATTGTGAATGCAAGTATTGTGCTAATGACACTTGTTTATATATCAAGCAAGGGAAAGTGAATAATATATCTTAAAAATGTCCATTTGTATTCACATATAGTTCAAGCTCTAATTGAAATAACTAACATGTGTCATCCTAGCACAATGCATGTAAACATACACATTTACTAACACAATTTCAATTACATAACTTTATTCCACTTTACATATAATTTGAGATCTTTCCAATTGGAACATAACATAGCATCATCCTAGCACAAGGTTCATACTCCAATCAACTACCAACAAGAAAAGAGCTTTCAACTACAAATACACTACACACCTTCAATACACAAGTATCATTCTATTACAATTCACATTCTCATTGGCGCATGCCACAAACAAAAATAAACAAGTGTCACACTGGCACAATTCTCATATTCCAATTGGCAATAAATAAATACTGCTCCCATTGGGCAAACAAGGCGCATAAAGTAACGCAAATAACTGTAAATGCAAAGGCAATACTAATTGGATTGCAGGCATTCAAATTTTTTGTGGGATATTTTAAGTGTTTTAGCTGCGTGGAATATGCATAAAAGCAGCTGGCCAAATTCCATTCAAATGACATTGAGTATATAAAAGAAATATATATGCATACATATGTATATAACTATTAACTTACAATTCGAGCACATTTCCATAGGTAGCGATGTTTCATTTCCCTGAAAGGCAAACGTAATGTTTGTGTTAATAAATTTGAGTGAAACGATAAATTTGCCATTTGCATCTAAATATTGAAAAGAATGCCATAAAAGCACTTTTCTCGAATTTTTGTTATTTGGCAGAGTTTTATTACCATTTTGTGTGTGTATGTGTTTCAGGCTTGAAAATGTAATTAGCTATAAATGTATGAACACCAACAACAACAGCAGCGAGACAACTTTTATTTTTCCTATTGACAATTAATAAAAGATTTTCACTTTTTTCTCGTTTTATTTGGCGACTGTGACACTTTTTTGTACACAATGGCGTCTGACCATTCACAGGTAACGCGCACAGAAAGTCAGCTGTTTTTCTTTGGAGCAGAGTGATGAAAAAAAACGCGTTCACCCTGTTGACTCCCACGCTTCGAACTGGTGAGCAATTGCCAATTGGAAAACAGCTCTGTTATCCAGCAGTCTGTTAGGTACATTAACGCAAGTCTGAGCTCATCACTGTAAAGATACTCAGCAGTGTTATCTAGAATGACAGAGTGAGAGGGAGAGAGAGATCATATGAAATATAATGGGAGATGAGAAAATATGAGTTGGCTATTTATACATTAAATAATAATAATAACTAAAATAACTAATAACTAAAATCAAACAGAACTGCAATACAATGTGAGCGAAACGCAAATTGAGCAAGATAGCGCAAATTTGGTCAAACATTGCTGTAACGGCTATTTTAACAGGCAGCGATAACTATTGCACATGTCTATCGAATTTAAAAATGTTGCGCGCTTACAATCGATTTTTAAAATAAAATCAAAGACCTTTTGTGATTTTGAGCTATACAAAAAAACTGCTGCTGACACAAATACATACTTGAATGCTAAGCAATATGCAATATGCTAATAATATGCACAACAGAAATATACCCTGTATTTGCTGTTGATTCACTTAGTTTATGCATGACCCAATAAAAAGTGCGCAACAAATGAAACTAGAAATATTCGGATCACTGAATAATTAGGAATCAGTTATCTATTCAGCTTCCGCTGACCTACAAGACAAACAGCTGACAATTATAATCGGTTCGTAATGCCAACTGAGCTGAGACCCTATGACGATCAAGTTGCTTCAAATTGGATTGCCCTTTGATAACTGCCATCAGCGGAAAGTGAAAACTCAACTGGCTGTCGGCTGGCCCACTGGGACGGGAATTGCGGCTAGACACTTGTGGTGCTTCCAGCCCCGTCTCAGCCAAGAGATAGCATTTACTGTCTTCCCATATTATCATTATAGCAAACCGACTTGCCAACTGCCAGTCCATTTCGTTGCGAACGCGCCGAGCGTACGGTCGTCGCTACCAATAGAATATACAACACCCACCTACGTCCCACCTCGTCAGCAACCACAACCGCGCAGTAGACATGTCACAGAGCACAACGAACTATGTCTATGCGGATGGCAATGGAGCTACGGCGACGAGACGAAATGTAGCCATTGTGGGAGCCGGTCCGGTAAGTCACTTTTATCTACTGCATGTTATTAGGGACGGCAATTAGCTGGTAGCCGTAATACGCATTTTTTGGTTGTCATAAAGCCATAAATGCCAGGCAAGTGAGACATAGATTAGAGCAAAGCATAAGCAAGAAGTGGAGCAGATAGCATACAGATCTAGATCTACGTGTATAAAATATGCCCAACTTTTTGCGCATCTGGATAATTGTTTAGAGTCTTGGGTAATAATATAACTAGAGTTGCATCAAAAATGGATCCTATGCACTTTCACTAAACTTAGCGAGTATTATTGATTACGTAATTCTTATATATCAAAGCTTTGATAGAGTATTAGATGATCATACATTTGGTATATAATATAAAGCACTCTATAAGGATCTATAGAAGAGTTTCACAATATGTGTAGTGTAGAGTATAAATGGCATAATAAACTATATTTAAAATCATTTAAGCAGTATGAGATTTCCATATTTAGAAAAATGCATTTTCCTATCAATCTTGAAGCTTATACATGTTGTAAAGGAGTTTTATACGAATTCAGCATTAAAAACGTATAACAGTATCATATCTTCATATGTAAACGAAATATCATTATGCAATATCATTATATTACAGCTACATCTAGAGCATTAGCGTGTTTTAGAGCTTATCTTATATTATCATTTACCTGTGCAGGTGGGTTCATTGGCCGCTTTGAACTTTGCGCGCATGGGTCACGAGGTGCAGCTGTACGAGTACCGCGAGGACATTCGCAAGGCGCAGCTGGTGCAGGGGCGCAGCATCAATTTGGCGCTGTCGCAGCGCGGACGCAAGGCCTTGGCTGCCGTGGGCCTGGAGCAGCAGGTGCTTGCCACAGCGATACCCATGCGCGGCCGCATGCTGCACAGCGTCAAAGGACGCACGAGCATTGTGCTGTACGATCCGTGCAACAATCAGTGCCTGTACTCGGTGGGTCGGAAGCGGCTGAACGAGCTGCTGCTGGATGCCTGCGATGCGTTTCCCAACATCCACTGCCATTTCGAGCATAAGCTGGTCAAGGCCAATGTCAGGGAAGGCCGCTTGCAGTTCAGGCTGGGAAGGGAGAAGCAGAAGATGAAGGAGCAGGAGCAGCAGCCGGAGCAGGAGCAGCTGATCTCTGCCAGCGCAGATTTGATTGTGGGCTGTGATGGCGCCTTCAGTGCGCTGCGACAGCAGCTCGTGCGTCAGCCTGGCTTCAATTACTCGCAGGAGTACATCGGCACGGGCTACCTGGAGCTCTGCATACCGGCCAAGGACAATGAGTTTCAAATGCCACCGAATTACTTGCACATCTGGCCGCGAGATTCCTTCATGATGATCGCTTTGCCCAATCAGGATAAATCATTCACAGTTACCCTGTCGATGCCCTTCGAAGTGTTTGAGCAGCTGAAGACCCAGCAGCAGCTGCTGGACTTCTTTCGCACTCACTATGCGGACGCACTGCCTCTGATTGGCGAGCAGCAGCTGATCAAGGACTTCTTCAAGTCACGCCCACAGCACTTGATGTCCGTCAAGTGCAAGCCGTACCACTATATGGACAAAGCCCTGATTCTAGGCGATGCAGCGCATGCTATGGTGCCCTACTATGGCCAGGGCTTGAATGCGGGCATGGAGGATCTGACGCTACTGAACTCCATACTGAATCAGCAGCTTCCGCTGGATGTGGCACTGGAAAAGTTTACCGAATCTCGCTGGCGCGATGCCCATGCCATCTGTGATCTGGCCATGTATAACTATGTGGAGGTGTGCATGGCTTCCTGATATCTACTCGATGTGCATTTATCTACCGATTCTCTTTTTCATCCTCGACAGATGCGTGATCTAACCAAGCGCTGGTCGTTTCGCTGTCGCAAGTGGCTGGACACAACGCTGTTTCGCATCTTTCCCAATCAGTGGGTGCCGCTCTACAATAGCGTCTCCTTCACCAGCATGCCCTACAGTCAGTGCATTGCGAATCGTCAGTGGCAGGACCAGTTGCTGCGCAAAGTTCTGAGTGGCACGATCGTGTTGAGCTTTTTAGTGGCTGTTGGCGCCATCTATGTGAGACGGTTGCGCTGAGCGTTTCAAATAATCAACTTTGGAATGTACATTTGTTTTGAATTATCTTTATTGCCTTTAATTTTATAAACATATTTCACTATCATAGACTTACGTGTTCTATTTGTTATAAATATATAAATATATACTGATTATGTACTACATATTTTATTTTATAGCAGCCAATGAGTTGCTGGCGCCATCTATGCGCGATGTTTCATTTTCTGCTCTCTGTGTTGCATGCTATTCTTGCTTACGCTTTCGATACCGTTAACCGTGCATGCCTAGTGATAGAGGGCACGCTGAGCGCAAGCGCAAGCTTATTTGCTTAATTTAGTCAGTGCGTGTTCGTCCTGTGAGTCGCAAGTGAGATCTGCCGTGTTAAAATAATAAATAAATACAATATTTAACTAAAGAATTAACTTCAACTTTATATGAATATCATTTTTTAGTGAGTGCGTGTAAAGTATAAGAAGTCAGTTCATACACGTAACGCGTAAAGCTTTATCGACGTATAAAAAAAACGCGAAAAATTAGAGAAGAGCAGAAGAGTAAGATAATTTACCCAGTTATATGTTTTGCCCGCGAGCCAGTACTGCCAGCTGCTGGAATATTTCCTCTAAGTCTTTCCTTCACGTAATTCATCCAAATATTTCTTCCACATATTTTCTCTAAGTATATCCTTTACGTATTTCCTCTACGTAATGCATAGCAGAACGATCACACACTTCATTTCACTCGACTGCACAGCCCCCACCAGGCCTGGGCGACTGAAGAAATGCTGCAGGTACTGCCCTTTATATAGGACGACTTTCACTCAAAGCCCAAGTCCCACTCAAATGTTGAGCCCGGTGCCAGGTAGAGGTCGTTGCAGTCGAACTTGAATTGACCAATGGGAAGAGTCTCTGCCGCTGCAAGCATTCTTGCTTCGTTTTACTTAAATACAGGCACAAAACTACTACTGCATACATATAGACAACTTGAATGATCTTCTGTAGTTCTTCTTTGTAGCCTGCTTATAGTATACAGACTGACGGAGACAGATTATAAGATAGAGAAGGAGACAGTCAGGGAGACCACTTTCACACAGACAAGATCTAGCCTGAAATAGGCTATATTAACAACACTGGTGCAAGCACCAGCCTGCAGGCAAAAAAGAGCATCCATGTCTTGTCTGTGAGAGCAAAGCAATAAGAGCGACTAATACATACAGTTATTTAAGCCTAATATTTCTTCGTTTACATGTATTAAATGAATGATAACTGAAGAGTGAGAGAAAAAGACACATTAATGTCTTGTACATATTACCTATGTATGTCTTATACCAACTATAATATTATGCCGTGTTTTTTATATATGGAGTAAAGATTTCGGATAAAATTCCAATTGCAATTGTAGGTCATTTATTTTGGATTCTTTTCATTTTTGTTTAAACAAAAAACATATTTCCTTACTATATTTAAATAGTTTTATGTACAATTTGAACACAATAAATGTGTCTCGTATAAAAATAAATATACATACATGTATCTATGTATGTACATAAATATATGTGTGTGGTTAAAATACTACGCATCGCCTTTGGCAATCTAAACATTGTATGTATGTGCATATATTTGGTTTTTATTTATTTTTGTTTATTTTTGCTGCGTTTAAAAAGTCGATGGCATTGTGCAAAGCCAAAAATATGCCACGGTAGTGTACAATTGCATGCGCGACATACATACATACATAAGCACATCAATTTATACATACGTGCATAGTGGTATTTGCATATTCTATGCTTTTCTCGCATATCACGTGTAACATCGAATGTTTATGCCGGATATCAATGAAAGAAAAACGAATTTTGTTATGATTAACCTCACTTATTTTCTAATTAAATAGATAGAAACAAAATCAATGTATATGTGTGAGTGCCAGCACTGTAATTAAAAATGGCAGCACTGACACGCAAGGCCGACGCTTTCTCTTCACACGCGCTCGGTCGCTCTCCCACTCTACTTCGCTCTTATTTCAATGTCGACGCCGGCCGGTGTTTCGTTATGACTCGCCAACAATGATGACAACAACATTTCACATTGCACCAAATGCGTTGGTTGATCTTGAAGTCGAAAGCTTACTCTCTCTCTCTCATTTCACATTGCACCAAATGCGTTGGTTGATCTTCACGTCGAAAGCTCACTATCTCTCTCTCTTTCAGTTTTCGCTCACATACAATGTACGCAGGGAGTTGCCAGCAGCCAGCAGCCAGCGCCAACAACATGTTGTTAAACTAGGCTTAAAAGTGAAAACACACCAAAGCAATGGACGCGCCAATCGACGACTGACCCAGTGCTGCCAACAGCGGCTGAGGCACGAGCAGAGAGTGCTGAGAGTGTCAGTGAGAGCAGCACACACACTCTCTCGCAAAAAGACTCGACTAATTGTTGTTATTTAAATGTGAATGTTTAATCGTATACACAAACATATATATTTATATATAAGCATATATGTATATACATACATACATGCTTATATAAATGTGGTCGCCCCACACACACATACACACGGTTATTGTTGCTATATGCCGGCGGCGACTTATTTATTTGTGAACTTTTTCGCTGCTTACTTTTTATATTTCGTTTTCTTTTTTTGCTTTTATTTCAATTCTTGACTCTCTAGAATTGTCGGCGTCGCACAGTGGTTTGAGTAGCGTTATTATCTTATCGAATTAACATCAAAGTGAATTTTGATTTTTTTTTTCACTTTTTTTTGCTATTATTATCATTATTTTTATGTAACTTTCTACTTAGAATATTATTAATGACATAACTGAAACGTGCACCACACAAGACCAGAGATATTCACAGCTTGTTTGACCAATGGCATTTGCCTTTGGCCCACAGTGCACTGTCGCTGGCGACGACGCGTAGCTGCGCGATTTGTACAAACATACGGTTTTGCTTAAGCAACGGCCATCAGTTGCTCGTCACATGTTCGACACTCAAGTAGAGACCAATAGCAGGTAACGGAAATTGTGCAGAAAATTGACGATCAGTGCTGTGACCACCACAAACACCACACATTAACAACAACAACAGCAACAACGGTATACAAACAACAGTTCCCGCTCAATATAGTGCAAATTAAAAGTGGGAGATTCGAGAGATTTAACCGAAAGCCGCAAAAAGAAAAACTTGTGTGAGTGCTCCTCTCTCTCTCTCTCTCCCGAATATATATTAATCGAGCTGTTAACATTTCAAACCCAACTACTAGTTGCCAACGCGCTGTTGCCGCCCACAACATTCTCGAAACTTTCTGAGCAACGTGCTCTGACCACACGCTTTTCTGTGTTGTCTTCCTTCTGAGCGTTTGTCTATCTGTGTTTGTGTGTGTGCGTGTTTGTGTTGTTATGTGTTGGGTAAAGGAAAAGCCAAAAACGAATATAAGCAATTAGGGTTTTATTTGTCAGTCGATATTAGTGTAGTACTGTAAAAAGCAAGTGCAGTCATCTTGTCGGTTGTTGGCTTGCGCACGGTTCACGTAATATAACAAACAAAATACAAATTAAACCATCGAACATCGTTTTTGGGCCAGCAGAATTGATCCGTCACCTTTACACCGGATCGTCGCTGCATTGTTTCCACTCTCTTTCTCCCTCAACATCCATCTGCATCTCTCTACGACATACAAATATTCCACATCTCTGTCTCTCAAACTCGCTGTCGCTGTCGCTCTCACGCTTTCCGATCTGTGTGTCGATATACGTTGATTCTTTTTGCTTGCTGATTTATTTTAATACAGTGGCTGTGCTCTCTATTCAAACTCAACAAATAGAATAACTGACTGTGTGTGTGTGCGCGTCTGCTCTATATATACAATACAAATCAAATATACATACATTCACATTAGTGTTACATATACACGTGAGCCAAAACGAACAGAGACTGTAATCGTGTAACCGTAACCAATAACGTCACTCCAACTGTAACGGTCAACCAACAGCATTCGCGCGACTCTCTTTGCACGACGAAGAAAAAGTAAACGGCAAATAAAGAAGCGCGTTCTAACGACTCGATCGTTACGTTGTAAACGCCATCTAGCGTCATTTCGCGAACATTCGGCGTGCGTTGTCCTTGTTTAGTTTCGGCCGTAGTGCAAAAGTGATTTCTCTGCCTCCTTATCGCGCTCTCTCTCTACCACGAGCATTCGTCTACGTGTCTCGCAGCACACATCGCGATCTGCATCTTGAGAATTCGGATAAGAATTATTAAAGCACGACTTATCGCTCAATCCAGCAGGTAAATATTATAAAAGAAACCATCGAACTTTATCAAAATATCGTAACTATATGTGTACTACGTGATCGCGCTGCAGATGACGCTGCCGGGTCTCGGGTTGCCAAAAAAAAAAGCGCCCACCCCAACAAACGCACACGCATTTGCACACTCCATCTCTCTCTCTCTCTCGTCGTCTCTCAATCTCGCGCTCTCTCTCTCTCTCTTTCTGTTAGAACACGGGTATCTCTTTCTCTTTCATTTCTGTCATTTCCGGCTTGGACTGAAACAAAATTCACCTTCATTCCGTTTTTGGGAACTTGACCCTGACGCAATTTTAAAGGCTTTCCTATTTACTCTGGCATTAAAATCTTAGCTATATATGAAATAGATATTTCATGCACATAGCAGGCTAGAAATGCAAAGCATAAATTGTCTCACAATTTCAAATCGATGACAAAATATTCATTTCAGTAACTTTAAACAGCATGTAATCAAAAAATTTTTAAATTCCGTTCTGATTGAGGAGATTTCTTGGACAATCCCTGAAGCTGTTTAGCTTTTGTCAGCCATAAACAAATCGCCAAATGCGAATCATATGCTAACCCATAAGTGTCAGCATGAAGAGCTATTTAAAGTTCCAGTTATCCAACCAAGGAGATTAGAAAAATATTTCAAATATTCCAACAGTCTTCTATGAGGTAAAGTTTTGCCCAACTGAGTTATATATTACATATGTATGTACATATGTGCATATTCTTATGACTAATTTGCCTTTATAATCTCAACTATATTCCACTTTTCCATTCGTTTTTTTCAGTTCACAATTTGTCAACGTTGAGTCACGTGGATTATAGTGTGATTTGATATATAGAATATTTGATATACCTAGAAATTATTTTAGTAATTATACCAGTAATTAGTGTAAATAGGGCCTTAGGCTCTTCCATCCGTATATCCGCTTATCTATATCTTGGGATTCCCAGCTAACAATCTTGCACTTTATGGCATAAAAATCCCCAATTCTTAGACGGCAAACTAATTAAGCGCTTTACCCAAAGCCTATAATAAAAGCAATTGTGAATAGCACACCCACACACATACACAAACATGTACACATGCATACGCTTAAAATCGTTTGGGAATGCAAAAACATTGCGATATATTCATATGCGCCAGCCTACCTACATACATAAATACATATCAATATGTATCTGAAAAAAAACTTACATCATCTTTTGGGCCACAGAGCGGCAGAGGCACAGACTAAGCGAGAGAGGGAGAGAGCGAGAGTAAGAGAGTAAGAGTGAGAGTGAGCGAGGGGAGAGAGTAAAAGAACGCCAAAAATGGCAAGCCAATGATTTTGTTGTTGTTGTCGTTATTCTTGTCGAAAGTAATAGAAATTGCGCGTTAGAATTGGAAATGACGCCAACAACAACAATAATGGCAGCAGCAAAACAATCGAAAGCAAAACAACAAAAATAAGCGTAAACATGCCGCGCACTTTGCTTAACTTCTTTCCAACAACAACAACCACACGCACACACACAAGAAAACTTAAGAATGGTGCAAAACAAATGTGATAAACAGCGGCAACAAGGTTACTAGGGGAATATGCTAAAATATATACATATATAAATAATAGTAGACAATAGTTAATTTATATTTATAATGCGTATAATAATTTTTTGTATTATTCCCTCTTTTTCACTCTTGGCAGCAATAAATAGGGCAAACATTTAGAACAGAGGACGCAGTGAGAGAAAAAAAAGGCGCATTCACGAAATACATCGTCCGTCAGAGCCAGTGAAAGAAAAAAACATCAAGCTACAATAACAACAACAACAACAACAAATACAGCAAGAGCGACCACCAAACAACAACAACTGAAACAACAACAACGAGGCGCAATTTAATGAATTTTGTGATTATAAATATTGCAAAGGTACAACAAAAGCTCATTTAATAAAAAATCGCGGCGTCGAGCACAACGCCGAGCGGCAAAAACCCATCAAGAGTAAAAATCAAATAAAAACAAAAACAAATCGGCGAAAGAAAAAAACAAATAAAAATAGAAAAGAAAAAATCAAACGCACAATTGCAGCAACAACAAAACGTGGCAATAACTAAAACAGAAAGCTTTGGCAAGTTAGAAACAAAAACAAACAACAACAACAACAAGCCGAGCAAGCCCGTGAGAGAGTGCAAAGTGTTCGAACAGTGTGAGTGCGTGCGTGCGTTTATATTTGTGTGTGTGCATGCGCGTATGTGTGCGTGCCCAAGTGCTTGAGTAACAGCAAAAGCAACCGCAGTGAGAGTGCGAGCGCGAGCGAGCGCAAAAGAGCGAGCTTAAGCTTAAGAGAGCGCCGAAGCAAAAGCAACAGTAATTCAACAGCTCGTCAAGCGAAGCAGCAACCAAAGCCAATTGCGCATAGAACAAGCACAGAGGCACATTTAGTAGCAGCGCAAAGCCAATAAAAAAGCAACCAAAAAAAAAAAAAATATAAACACAAAAATACAAGAAAATTAAAAAAAAAAAAATTTTTATTAACACAAGTGGAAAATCAAAATAAAAGAAAAATTCATAAAAACGGCTGGACAAGTTTTAAGTGCAACGACAACGTTACCGTTGTGAAAATGGTAAACAAAGCCCAAGGGAAACAGGCGAAGGCGGAAAAGGACAAACAAGCGACACAGCAACAGGAGAGGTCGCAACAGCAACAGGTGCTACAAATTAACAAACCAAATAACAACAACAACAGCAAAGACAACAACAACGATAGCAATGGCAATGGCAACGGCAACGGCAACGGCGGCAATCAACTGAAAGCCAGCGAAAAGACTAAAAATGCAAATAACAAATGTAACAACCAAGCAACGCGTGCCAAGGCGGGCAACAACAAAGCACAACAGCAGCAACAACAGCACCACCAACAACAACAGCAGCAACAGCAGCAGCAACAACAACAGCGCAGCAGCAAAAAGTCACGTCGGCAGCGACAGCAGCTATTCTTTCAGCCACTATCGCGTAGTAGCGGCAGCCAGCAACAATTGCAGCTAAACAGCAATAGCCACAGCTACAGCAGCAGCAATAAATGTAGCAACACATCAATAACAGCTGCTGCAACAGCAGCAAAAGCGACAGCCACAGCTGCAACAACAACAGCAGCAGCAGCAGCAGCACTTGTTATCAAAGTTAGCTCCAATGATTTGTTAACATCGGCCTTGACCGTGCCCTGTGCCAAATGCTCGAAGCCAGCTATGCTGCCTGGCCTGCTGCCCTCATCCGCCTCCACCAGCAGCGCCAGCTCGGAGGCCAGCAGCAGCAGCAGCAGCAGCAGTTACAGCAGCATCTGCAGTGCCAGCAGCAGCAACAGCAGCAGCAGCGAGCTGCAACAGCAGCAGGAGCCACAGCAGCCACAGCAGCCACAGCCGCTGCAGTCGCTGCAGCTGGAGACGGCAATCGTTTATACAGGCAAACAATATCGTAAATCCAAATCATATATGGGCGTCTCTCAATATGCAACGAAAGCAGCAGCTGGCAACAACAGCAACAGCAACAGCAACAGCAGCAGCAATATTAATGTGCCCTATAGACGTTCGCAAAGCGATCGACGTAATTCATTTGATCGCACATTTGCGGAACGTAATCGAGATTTTGTGCCTATTGTCCAGCCGTTGCGTCCCGTTCTCTCCTCATCGAACATCGCAGGTGTTATAGCCAGTGCCAGCAAATTGACCATCATAGAACGTTTCGGCAAAGCACGCATCGCCTATCCCATAATGCAGGTGAGTCGCAACGAGCTATAAATATAATATAATATAGGTATATATATCATATACATCTATATAATATACAAACGTATATTTTATATAAATGAACTTACTAATTGAGATTAGAATTCTTGAAACTTGTTTTGAATCACATTCTTAATATTTATTGGCCATAAACTTGTTTGGCTGATCACATTTTTAAGCAATTTATAATTAAGGCATTTATTTGAGATTGAGAAAGTTTAAGTGGTTCTTAACTTGCGAAGCATTATATAAAGTGTTATATATAACAAATTCTGACTATAAATCTATTAGATCACCCAGTTTTCTCATGATAAACATTTCACATTTAGAATAATAAACTATTGCTATAGTGCTATAAACTGTTTTAAACTGTTATAAACTGTATTGAACTGTTATAAACTGATAGAGTATGCAATCAGATATATTTAAAAAAATGTTATATATAGGGCTTGATCAATCTTTTAGTTCATAGAGCTCGCTCGTATTCATGAGAACTGTTATAAAGTGCTGTTATAAACTGTTATACTTCAACTTTCATACTTCAAGTTGATCATTTCTGTCCACAATCAATAAGCAATCCTATTCCACTTATAACTCTAGCAATTTCTCTAATTAGAAATTGCTATATTTCAATTTAAGAAAAGCTTCCAGGCATGCCATAATTTCTATTTATAGATTTGATACCAAACAAGAAAATGAAGTTTGTATAGCTCGCACCTTGGTAACTCTTTCCATAAAACATTTGTGTTTTTTTGCTCTTGTTATCTTTACGCCTCAGCTGTTATACATACGCAGATCCATAAAATGATATGGCATAACTGATCTGTGATGATTAAGATTTTGCATTGACAAAGCTTTATATTAAAAACGTGATGCATAACTATAACAATATAGACTGCGTAATCTTTAGTAACTTTCCACTTATATCGTTGTTGTTGTTGCCACATAAAGACTCGAGAAGTTCGTTTCTAATCAGCGCTACCTAAGGAAGCAGTTCTAATTAATGGCGGAAAGGCAATTGGATGATAAGACAAACAAAAAGTGCTGAGAGAGAGAGAGAGAGAAAGAGGGGGAGTAGGAGAATGTGTGAGAGCGAGAGAGAGTGCAGAAGAGAGCGGCTCTCTTTGATTAGTCATCTCAATATGCATCACTGAATCAAATGAAATTACCTTTATATTAGCTACATATAGCCCACAAAGCTTAGCCAATTAAAGTTGTTTCTAGTATTAAGTTTGTCTTTTGTTTTTGCAATTTACTAGGAATTTATATATTACAAAGCTTGTTTATTTGCACGGGTTTGCTTAAGTTGGTTAAAGCATTCCTCCTTATCAATGCACATTTTGTGTCGTACATATAAATTTGCACTGGGCTAAAGACGAACCCACTTGGTGGGTGTTGTGTATTCAGTAAATTACGTATACGGCATGTTTAACACATTTGCATTCAAATATTATTTTAAGCTATCAAGAAGCAATTGCAGTATTACATATTTAGTATATACACATATATATTGATACAGATAATATGTAGTACATCAGTATTAAAGCTGTCGTTATTGATTATAATCTATATGAACTCAGCTCTGACTGCAGCTATATATTAGATATTTTGCATGGATGTCGCTTTTTGTCTACAGCAATATCATATCAGAATGCTACACATTATATAGATTATATAGCTGTCATATAACTAAACTTCACTTAAATGAACTTAATTTCTTATCAATGTCTAAGCACTACTTTTGACAGCCATCATAGTTAGATTTCATTTATTGACGAAATGCAATGTGAATTTCGACTAAACTTCAATATATTATGATCATTAATCATTGGTTCCGTATGGAATATATATAGAAATGTTGAAGCTTTTGAGCCTCTTATCAAAGTCTGACAACCAAATCTAAGAGATATATTATTGCTATATTTATAGTATATAGAATTTATGAACTCTCTCTTTAGAACTTACCAATTTTTAAGTCCTTTATCCGGCTAGAATTCTATATACGAGTTCAGTTCAGATCATAAAGCTGACCTAAATCTCTTTTCGTAGTCTGATCTCTGCTTCTAACTGCATATTCTTATATATTATATACACACATTATTCCCAAGGGTATCTAAACTTCGCCCAAGCACGTCTTGTCTCGCTTTGTTTTGTTTTGGTCTTTGATCTATCATTTTGTGTGTCGATTTTGACAGAGCAGCTTTATTGGATTGATAGATATTTTCTTTAATGCGGAAATTGCAAAGCCTTGGAATATATTTAAGAAATCGAAACAACAGACATGTGTCTGCAGCAGCGATGAGAAAACAAAATAGATATCGAAATACAAATATATATATTTAAATAAAATAAGAAATTAAAAATAATAAAAGCTTAATAAAATATTTGATTTATGTTAATTTTGTCGCGCATCTGCATATGTGAAAAAATAGCATCGCCCAATATATTTTATATAGTATATGATGTTTAGCTACTTCTACTTCTGCTACTTCTTTTTCTTCATCTTCGTCTTCTCGATTGATTAGCATGTGCGTCAGTTTTAGTTGTTGTTGCTTAGTTTGTTTGATTACCTTTAAAGACATACCGAAAACTAGTTCTAAATGTATGCGAAAAGGGAAACTTGTTTTACCACTTGGGATACATTTGTTTCAAATGAAGATCGAGAGTAGAAAACACTGAAAAAATAAAAACACACACACACACACATACACCAAAAATTTACCAAAATGCAAATAAATTTTGGTCTTTTTGCTTTTATTTAAACAATTGACAGCGCCATGTCAATAGTCACGAATTAAGCAACATAGTTTAAACAACTGTCGCAGGCACCTGAAAGCTAAATAAAAGCTAACCTTCACCATATAAATTCTATCCAAACAATCTTAACACACATTGTGAAGCAAATACTCCAACTATTATTATTATTATTATTATTATTACCATTTTTTTGTAGTAAGCTGAACC